TTATGGGCGATATTTACTACCAAAAAAGACTTGTTCTTCTTCTAGTGATTTGTTAGTCTATTTACAGATAATGAGCTTGCTCAAATTAGACTCCCATTGAATTCATTTTACTATTTGTTGATTCTTAAGGCTATAAATAATCTAAATTGACCTTAATATTATCTAGATCAAGCTCATTTATTTATTTATTTATCAAATTTTGATCAAATTTAAACATTTTTTTGATCTTAAATCTTATTCAATCTTATTTATAAGTTTTCTTTCAAATAATTTTTTTTTTTCAAGTTGATGTCAATAGGAAGATATAACATAAATTTCATGAAAATAATTTTTAGAGGTATTAAATTTATATTGAGATAAATATATCATAAATTTTGATTGATAAAATATGTTTAAAACATATTTAAAAATATGAATGATGATAAAAATAATTAAATATGCATGAGAATCTCATGAGTCATGACTTAATTAAATCTTCTCTCTGTTAGCTACACGGTTACACGGCAGTCATTAGTTTAATTCCTTTTGTAACACAAGTTGTAGCCTGTACTTTCTTTACTTTATTTGTCTATAAATACCTATTGTAACCAACAGTTAAACGAATGAAAAGCTATCTTTCTTCTTTATTCTGTTTCCCATCTTGTTCCCTGTTCTTGGACGAAAGCCACGTCCAGGCTTACTCTTTCAACATGGTATCAGAAGTCTAGGTACCTCTCTCTACCCTCTCATCCTTTCCACGACAATGACCACTCCAGGCAATTCTTCTTCCTCCCAGGCGGAATCCTCCACCGCCGAAGGCACCTTCTCATCTCTTCAAATCCCATCCTCTCTCAAATTTTTGATGAGTAACATCAAAAATGTCATCTCCCAACCATTAACAGCCGACAATCACTCCCTATGGAGGTCCCAAGTCATCAAACTCTTCAGGGCAAATAGCTTTGAAGGTTTCTTGACCGGCTCCACCTCTTGTCCGCCTGCTTCCACTAATCCAGATCACTCCACCTGGATTTTGCTAGATCAGAATCTAGCAGCCGCCCTATATTCCGTGATATCGCCCTCAATTCTCCCCTACGTCCTCTCCGCCGATCATTGCAGCGACATTTGGAAGATTCTTGACAGCCGTCTCCAATCGTCCACTCGTTCAAGAATCTCACAGCTCAAGAACGAACTTCACTACCTCAACATGAAAGACAAATCAATGACGCAGTATCTACTTGATGTTAAATCCAAGGTCGACGCTCTTGCTGCAGCTGGCGCTCCCGTCGAAGTCGAAGACGTTATACATTACACTCTTAATGGGCTACCTACCACGTACCAAGCTTTCAAGACCGCCATCCGCACAAACCTTCGCTCGGTAAGCCTTGACGAGTTGTATACTCTCCTATGCAGCGAGGAACTCAATCTCCTTCACGAAACCACGAAAGAACTTCACGCTCTCAGCCTCAACGGCAACCAAACAGCGCTTACAGCAAACCGTGGAAGAGGACGAGGCCGCTCTTCCAATTACAGAGGCCGAACCAATCCAAGATCCTCCTATACTCAATCAAACAACAGAGGGGTTAAATCAAGCAAACCAGCCATTTCTTGCCAAATCTGTGGCAAGCCCGGCCACTCCGCCATCAAATGTTGGCATCGCCACGATGAGCAGTACAATTCCGATCCACCGACCGCCCTGTTCACTTCTTCAAACTCAGCAAACCCCTCCGAATGGTTTCTTGACAGCGGCGCCACCGCACACCTCACATCCGATCCTAACAACATCCAGCAATCGCAACCTTACTACGGCTCAAGTCAAATAACGCTCGGCAATGGACAGCAAGTTCCTATCAAAAACACGGGCAACGGCCTTCTACCCACCCCATCCGGTAATTTAAAATTATCTCATTTAAACTTAGTTCCAAATTTATCTTTCAATCTTTTATCCGTTCAACAACTAACCGCCGATAACGATTGTTTCATCATCTTCCATCCACACGGCTACGAAATCAAGGACCGGAAGACCCGCCGCAGTCTTCTCACGGGTCCATCTATTAATGGACTTTATCCACTCCAGCTCAAACAACAACCAGGACACACCGGCAACAACCTCGCTCTTCTTTCCGTTCAACACATTCCAGACCTATGGCACCGGCGTCTCGGTCATCCGTCATCGCAAACACTGGTCGCAATCTCCAAAAGAAACAGCATGGTTAAACCCGGTAGTAGTGCTTCATCTTGTAACCAGTGTAAAATGGCTAAAAGCCATCGTCTCCCTACCTCCTCTTCTCATTCTGTAACTAATTCTTTGTTTTCCGTTATACATTCCGACGTATGGGGACCCTTTTCTATGGTTCCAGCTCAAGGGTATCGCTACTATGTATCCTTTATTGACGATTTTTCAAAATTTTCATGGCTATATCCTCTCACTAATAAATCAGAGGTTTTCTCTAAATTCATTGAATTTCAAAATCTTATTGAACGACAATTTAATCTTAAAATCAAAATTCTTCGTTCAGACAACGGCGGCGAATTTGTCAATCACCACTTTCATAATTATTGCAAAACCACAGGAATCATTCATCAAGCAACCTGTCCGCACACTCCTTCTCAGAACGGAGTCGCCGAGCGCAAACACAGGCACTTAATCGAGACCACCAGAACGTTGCTGCTACAAGCCTCGCTACCTCTCTATCTCTGGGTGGACATACTTCTTGCGGCCAATCATCTCAACATCTTCCACTGCCCCTCGGCCAACTACATCCTCCCACACCACCCTTACCACTCAGACTCAAACTCACACAGAGATCTTACCAACTCCAACCCATAGCACTCCCGATCCTATAAGACCTCCACAAACATCTCAACTCATCACTCCTCAACCTCATCCTATGCTCACCAGACTTAAAGCCGGAACATCTAAACCGAAGAAAATATTCGATCTCACTCATATTATCCAGCCATCCGAACCTAAGACGTACAATCAAGCCTCCAAATCCGCACATTGGCGCAATGCTATGTCTCAAGAGTTTCAGGCTCTTCAAACACAGGGTACATGGGACCTCGTCCAACCGAACTCCACTATGAACATACTAGGATCCAAATGGACTTTCCGCACAAAATACAATTCAGACGGCTCGGTCGCTCGATACAAAGCACGTCTCGTCGCCCAAGGCTTTAATCAAGAACAGGGCATAGATTATAACGAGACGTTCAGCCCAGTAGCAAAAACGCCAACAATTCGGGTGCTCATCCACATTGCATTGCATCACAACTGGCCAATTCACCAATTAGACGTCTCAAACGCCTTCTTGCACGGTAAGCTATCCGACACAGTCTACATGTCACAACCGCCTGGCTTTCAAGACTCAACACATCCCGATTACGTCTGCAAGCTCAAGAAAGCTCTCTACGGGTTGAAACAATCACCGCGGGAATGGTATGCAACCCTCTCAAACCATCTCACCGACTACGGCTTCCACATCAGTGCTTCCGATCCATCGCTACTCAAGTTCCATTCCGGTACCACTCGCATGTACACGCTCGTCTACGTCGACGACATCTTACTCACAGGTAACTCTCCTACCGAAACACATAAATTACTCTCTAATCTTCACGCTTCGTTTCAGATGCGGAATCTAGGGAGCTTATCTCAGTTCTTGGGCATTCAAACAACCAAAACTAAGAACGGCTTCATACTTCACCAACAAGCCTATGCCAAATCCATTATCCAGCGGGCCGGTATGGATACAGCAAAGCCGGTAGCCACACCAATCTCCTGCAAAACAACTATCACTTCAAAGTCTCACGCTCCATACGATCAACCTCAACTGTACCGACAAATTATCGGAGCCTTGCAATATCTCACACTCACCCGACCGGACATTCAGTTTGCCGTCCAACAGCTATGCCAACACATGCAGAACCCGCTCAACATTCATCAGGAGGCATTAAAGCGTCTACTTCGCTACATTCAAGGATCCTCCGCTCTCGGCATTCCCCTCTACCGATCCAACCTCACCCTCACTGGATATGTTGATGCCGACTGGGCCAGCAACAATCAAGATAGAAAATCCATATCTGGGTATTGCAATTTCTTAGGAACTTCCATCATCTCATGGCAAGCAAAGAAACAAAACACGATCGCCCGATCCTCTACTGAAGCCGAATACCGGGCCTTAGCCACCGAGAGTACTGAGATCCTTTGGCTTCGTCAACTGCTCGAAGATTTCCATACACCGCAACCGGCACCTACCACTGTTTTCTGCGACAACACCTCCGCAATCGCATTGGCTAAGAATCCCATCTTCCATGCCCGCACAAAACATATTAAAGTTGACTGTCACTTCATCCGGGATTGTATCAAGAAAAACAAAGTTTCGGTTCACCATATATGCACTGAAGATCAACTAGCCGATCTCTTCACCAAAGCCTTACCAAATCACAGATTTCAGCTCCTTTCCAGCAAACTCACCGCTACCTCCCTAGCATGAGTTTGAGAGGGGCTGTTAGCTACACGGTTACACGGCAGTCATTAGTTTAATTCCTTTTGTAACACAAGTTGTAGCATGTACTTTCTTTACTTTATTTGTCTATAAATACCTATTGTAACCAAGAGTTAAACGAATGAAAAGCTATCTTTCTTCTTTATTCTGTTTCCCACCTTGTTCCCTGTTCTTGGACGAAAGCCACGTCCAGGCTTACTCTTTCAACACTCTTCCTCTTTTTCACCCTGTACCATTCTTGACTTGTAAATACATTCATTTTCTTATTATAAAACGAAGACTTCAGTCGTGAACTTACGACGACGCGGCAGCTTCGTCTTCTCTCTCACTTATTCTCCGTTTACTTGACTAAGGTTGTTCACATATCCGCGAAGCCGTCCGATTTCAAAGGAACGGTCGAAATGAAGGCTTCCCCTTAACAAGGCAATCATCTATTGGAAAATACCTCTTCTAAAAGTCCAATCTCTGTTTCTCCTACTGTTCAGTTGTTCTGCTCTCTCTACCTCGATCATCGGAGCCATGGCGGAATGGTTTGTTGGTCCAATCATGGAGAAGATCATCAACGCTTGCTCTGGTTACCTGGAAGATCAAGTAGGATGGCAAACAGGCATGAAGAAGGAGCTGGAAAGCCTGCGAGAGAACCACCCTAAGATCCAAGCTGTCCTCGAGTTTGCTTCGAGCCAAGCAAAAATTGGAGGCCATAATAACACGCCTCTCCACGAATGGATTTGGCAGCTGCGAGATGCCATTGATGAGGCAGATGATGTGCTCGATGAGTTTGAGTACATGAAGCTTAAACAGCAGCTCCCCAAAAACACGGAAGAAACAAAGGTTTGTTCCGCCACCGCCTGCTTCCTATTTGATTCTGCTCGCGAATTGATAATATATTTCTAATTAATTTGACCAGAAACGAAAGGTCACGAGCTTCCTATTTGAAAGTGCTCATAAAATTCTCAAAATTGGCGAACGAGGTCTCAAAAGGGATCCCAACTTGAAGCGACTGGAGGAGGCTGTGCAGAAACTTGATAAAGTTTCGGCTGATGTTACTACTTTCCTTCCTCTTTTAGACAGCGCGAAGCAGGAACAGAAGGAGAAGGAGGTTGATTTCTACAAAACACGTGAAACAGGATCTTTTCCTAAGAATTATCTCATCGGGCGGCGCAAGGATAAGGAGATTGTTATGAACTGGCTGAGGAATCCATCAAATGAACATCGGGGAACTGATTTGTACAGAAACATTTCTCTTCTATCTATAGTGGGGCATGGTGGTATGGGGAAGACTACTCTCTTGCAACATGTTTATAAAGATGATGAAATTACAAAGGAATTTGATCTTAAAATGTGGGTTTGTGTTTCCAACAACTTTGATGTGAAAAAAGTCATTGCAGATTTGTTGGAATCTCTTAAGAAGAAGAGGCCTCGTTTAGAGACACTTGAGGCACTTCAAGATAGTCTTCGGACTGAGATTATGTCCAAAAAGTTCTTACTTGGGCTGGATGATATTTGGGAGGAGGATGAGGAGAAGGATAAAAGCAAATGGGAGGATGTGCTCGCCCCTCTAGCTTCTGGGGGTTTTGGTAGTAAGATTCTGGTAACAACTCGAACGGACTCTGTTGCACTAATGTTTGATAAGGTAATTAAAAAGAAGACGGAAAAAGTAAAAATAAATGGCTTGGAGGAAGATGAGTGTTTGCAGCTCCTCAACTCTCATGCATTTGCTGGTGTAGAGAACCCCTCTGACGATTATAAAAAATTAAGAGCCATTGCTGGAGAGATAGTTAAAAAGCTTTTAGGATCTCCATTGGCAGCTAAAGTCATTGGTGGTGTTCTGAAGGACAACTTGGATGAAAGGCATTGGAGGACAGTTCTAGAAAGCAATTTATTGGGTCAGAATTCTATCAATTCCATCTTAAGACTGAGCTATATAGTTCTGTCAAATTATCTACAAAATTGTTTCGCATTTTGTTCAATATTTCCACAAGGTTATAGGTTTGATAAAGATGATTCAGTCAAAATGTGGATTGCATTGGGTTTCATTCAGCAACCTAATGATCAAGAATGGACTATGGAGGATATTGGAGGAACGTATTTTGATGTTTTGGTTAAAAAATCTTTCTTTGATAAGTTTAAAGATTCTGGACATCAACGATTCTACAAGATGCATGATTTAATGCATCAATTGGCACAATCAGTTTCCAAACATGAATGTTTAAGAGTTGAGGATGGTACAAAATTGCCTTCTATAATTCCTAAGACTCTTCGACACTTGTTTGTTGAAACTACAAATCCAGACATCATAAAAATGATAGGGCAGTTTAAATATTTGCATTCTCTTATCTTGTTCTCTAAAGCTTCTGATCAGGATCTTTGCAGTGCACTTATTGAAATATTCAAAGCATCGAGAAGTCTACGCTTATTAAATGTATGTTCTCCATGGTTGGAAATGATGCCTGAGGAGATTGGAAATTTGATACATCTTCGATGCTTAAAGATTGATTATAATTTGACAATGCTGCCAAGATCTCTAAGTAATCTCTATCACTTGCAATACATAATCTATGATGGCGCAGAGCAGGTTTATGTTAATGATTTTTTACCAAGTGACATTAATAACCTTTCTAACTTGCGTTACTTGAAATCTCTCGAGGTTTGTATTTCATCGATATGTGGGATTGGGAAGCTAAAGTCTCTTCAAGAACTGGAAATGTTTTATCTTAGAGATGTGAGTGGTTATAGAATTGGGGAGTTGGAGAATATGAATGAACTTCGCAAATTAGAAATCAATTGCCTTGAAAATGTTAAGAATGCTGAGGAGGCTTGTAGTGCCAAATTATGTGAAAAGAGGAGGCTCACAGATTTGACCTTATGTTGGAGTTACGCTGATTTGAGGAACATCGATTTAAATGAGAACGTGCTCGACAACCTTCAGCCTCCAAAATGTCTAAGGAATCTGAGCATATATAAATACATATGGGTGCAAGGTCTGCAATATGGATGAACAATGTCAATCCAATCTTGAATCTAGAAAAAATCATATTGACAAAATGCTTGGAGTGTGAAACTCTTCCACCTTTTGGGCAACTTCCCTTTCTCAAGTCTCTGACCCTTTCTAACATGCCGAAAGTAAGATGTCTGGAAAGTAAATTTAATGGGAATGATAAATACCGTGCCTTTCCATCGCTAGAGGTGTTATATATTTACGAATTAGAAGCATTAGAGGATTTGTTTGAGGCAGGAGTAGCTGCTGAAGATGGATGTTTGTTTCCTTGCTTAATTGGACTGTATCTATGTGACTGCCCGAAGTTGAAAGAGTTGCTCTCTTTGCCTTCTAAGCTCAAGAGATTGTACATAGAAAACATTGGGTGGACGACTTTAAATTTTTGTAGCAATTCAAATCCTATTCCCGTTGAAACATTAAAGGTCTCTGACTGTCAAAACATCACATCTACTCCGATCTTCAATCTAGAGGAAATCAATTTGAAAAATTGCAGTGAGTGGGAATCTTCCTCCTTTGGGACAACTTCCCTTCCTCAAGTCTCTAGAACTTTATGACATGCCGAAAGTAAAATGGCTCGAAAGTAAATTTAATGGGAATGATAAATACCATGCCTTCCCATTGCTAGAGGTTTTGCATATTCGCGGCTTAATAGCATTAGAGGATTGGTTTGAGGCAGGAGCAGCTGCTGAAGATGGATGTTTGTTTCCTAGCTTAATTGAACTGGAGCTAGAAAACTGCCCGAAGTTGAAAGAGTTGCCCTCTTTTCCTTCTAAGCTCAAGAAATTGAAGGTATGTAGATTTGGGTGGACGACATTGAATTTTTGTAGCAGTTCAAATCCTATTCCCCTTGAAACATTATTGGTCAGTCACTGTCCAAACATTACATCTCTTCCTCTGGCTGATGAAATAGCAAGACTTGCAGCACTAAGATACTTGACAATTAGAGATTGCCCCAATCTGATCTCTCTCGGAGAAATGCGAACAACTAATAATTGCCATCTCATGGTACTTAGCGATCTCAGGATAAGTGATCCATCAGTGTTGCTAATGGAGCCATTGAGGAGTATCGCCTCCTTAAAAAGCCTTTCAATTGTGGATAATGATGAGCTGGTTTCATTTCCAAATGAGGCGGAGGATTGGTTTCTGAATGTTAGTTCTTCTCTTTGTGAGCTGGATTTTCGACAGTTCAAATCCTTGGAGTCTATCCCTTCCTCCTTGGAAAGCTTATCTTCACTTCATTGTCTATATATTTCTAAAGTTCCTATGCTTCGGGAATTACCGAACCTTCCTCCCTCTTTGAAAGTTCTATCAATTTCGTTTTGTCGTCCAGAGTTATTTGAGCGCTATCGAAAGGGTGTAGGCTCCGATTGTCACAAGATTGCTCACATTTCTCATATTTATTTTCAGCACTGATAATAGGTCCAACTACTTTAATGAAAATTTCAAAATATATAAGCTGCAAACTTCTTTCTTCTTATTTGTTTGATATATATATATATATGAAATGTGAAGAATGCTATCTCAGCATTAACGAGCTGTTTGTATCCCTTTATATATAAATATATTCTTCTTTTAATGCTTCGTTATATATGTTGTGAATCATTCACAACTGAAATCTAAATAATTCTTTTTAATATCTTATTGATTCCAATAATATAAATATATAATTCAATTACCAAAAGCGAGATTGTGGTGGACGATATTTTATTTTCATCTTTTGAAATTGCAACGACAACTTTTTGAATATTAATCCGGCATATTGTTATTGTTCTTAGCTAAAGAAGCTAATCAACTAATTTTTGAATTTATTATCAAACATAAAAATTCATGAATATAAACAAGCTTCAAACTCTTTATTATATAATAATTTTTAAATTTTTTATTCAAATTTATTTAATTATATAAATAAATAAACAATATATAAACAAGCATCAAATTATTCATCAAATGCATATTTGCATATTTTAATTTAATTTTAAAAAACTGAATATAAAAAAGGTTATTTTAATCAATTAAAATTAAAAATAGGAAGATAAATGAATCTGACCAAAAAAAAACCTTGATGATCAAATTGCAAAGGAGGATCACTTAGTGCAATACAAATTAAATTAGGATGAACTTGAAAACTGTTATATTTGCCTTGAGAATATTATAACAAATTCTACATAGAAATATCACTAATTTTAAAGCAAATACAAATAATTCGGAGCTAATCTTTATAAAATTTGTATTAGGATATCCTCAAGTAATTTTTTTCTCCAAAGATCCACGAAAAATTTAAGTTCTTAGTAATCTATTTTATCCCACTATTCCTGATAAGGTTTGTAAATCTTGACTGATTCCCAAATATAAGCGTTTTGAAATAAAATAATCTGATTAATTTTAATTACTCTATTAATAAAAATTAATTAACTTAATGTCTATTATGCCTTTTCCGCTTTCTTTATTAGTCTTTACCCCTATAAAAGCAGGGTGCGGGTTTTAAGAAAGGGCAGAGAAGTTTTTGCGATTCATTCATTGGGATTTCTGGTTTTTCGAGTTGAGAGAAAAAGGGAGACGTCCAAGAGAGGGTTAGGGTTGGAGTTCGGCTTGGCTTCTTGTGTGAGGAGGAAGACAGGGTTTGAAGGAGAAATTATTTGGTGCGGAGTCTGGACATACTCCGGACATAGCGGAGTCCGGATGTAGCTCTATGCTCCGGACATAACGGAGTCCGGATGTAGCTCTATGTTCGGACTCCAATTAAAACCAGACATCAGACATGTCAAAGAGACACTTGGATTTTTCTTTTGTATATTATCTTTTCTTTATGTATTGTTAGCCTGACCGACTCGACTAACCCACATTTTTTTACTTTTTAAATGCCGTGATAAAGGGTTGGCGCTTCATTAATTTTAAGAAAAAATGTGCGAGAGCTCCCAAATCCAAATATTTTAGGACTTGTCATACATGCCCAGAAAGAAAAAATAGAAGAACTTTGCAATATTCGCGGAAATGGAATGTTGGTTTCAACTTATTAGTAAATTTCTACCCCATCTTAAGTTGTTCTAAAGGGTTTCCAAGGTTGTGTATAAATAAGGACTTGAATACTGAATACCGAAACTTTGCAATATGCTACTATGCTTTTTCTGTATTTTAACTGTATTTGAAATAACGCTTTCAAGACACTTTCACCGAACTTTTGCTACGTCAATACTGAATGTTTGATGTACTTTTGCTTAAAATGTACAATTACTGTAATTTTGATACGGTATTGATGCGCTATCACTGCACTTTTGAAAGGTGGTACTTTTGCTAATCTTTCACTGCGTATTTTCTACGCTCTTGTTGCGCTGTTACTACGCATTTGTTCCGCCTTTTCTATGCTTTTGACGAGCTTTTTTTCTCTTTACATGTGTAGAAAAATGAGAAAGAAGCATATGATGCTTATTGCACTTATGCTCATAATAGTGGATTTAGTGTGCGCAGGAATCATCATAATTACTAGTAGAAAGAAAGAAGCACGAGTGTTTTCTCTGTTATATTATTTCTCTATTAACACCCACCATCGTTTTCCTGATGTCCACTTCCATTACTTTGATATATGCTCCTCCTCGTTTATAGGTTTATATTCGATCAACAGCCTTATTTACCTTCTCTTTAAGCATTGTCTTCCATCCGATTTACTAAGGTTTTATTTGGAAATTTTTTTTACTATTTTTAAGTTAATTTTTAGTATAAAAATTTTTTTAACTAAAATTTTAAACTAAAAATTACTTTTAAAAAAAATAAGAAACTTGCCTCAAACGAAGCCAAAATTTTGTACATCGACCGGCATCATAGTCTTCAAGTCCACATCTCTTAATTTCCCTACTTAAATGGATATGATTATTTAGTGACTACTCGCTAACCTATTATATCCTTTGATCATTAAGCATCTTTTATTGATTTAACCTGCCTCAAACTCTATTATAATAACATACTATGTTGTAGGCCTGTCAAAACCGGGTCACGGGTCGGGTTCCGGTTCAACCCGAAACTGACCTGGGTTCATATGGGTCAACCCGAACCCAACCCGTTTTTGGAAACGGGTCATTTTGCTAGACCCGAACCCGACTCGCTTCGGGGTTGGGTCAACCCGACCCGACCCGTTTGACCCGATAAAAATTAAAATTTTGGGGTTTTGTATTTAATTACAAATAAAAATATGTACCCTTCAATTAATTGTTAAACAAAATTTTAAAATGTACAACAAAACATATCATTTGAGAAGGTTGATCATCATCGCATCATCACTTCAAGACAACAACAAAATATCAGAAAGAACCAGCAATAAACTGAACAGCTCAGAAGTCAGAATATTAAAGTTCAGCAAAAGTGCAAAACATCTCCTTAAGTTGCCAGTGCCATTTTTACTATCACATAAGTATTGAGCACCACATCTTTTGCATTTACACCTTTATTTATCATATGTAGGATTAGGTAACATCTCAAAATGATCCCAAACCTTGGAAGTCATCCTTCTACGCTTCTTAATGATGACTGAACCATCATCACATGCATCATTAGATGCATCTAATCCCTCTACCACATTGTCTTCAATGCGAACTTCATCATTTTCTTGAATATAATTTTCAGGAAGTGTGTTTGAATCCTCCATCTATTGCAAAAATTAAATCAAATTATACAAATGAAAAATGATAATTTACCTTAAAAAAATATCCAACACACAAAATACAAACTCAGTGAAATAGTATGAAATTATTGTAATTGCATATAGACATATAGTCAAATTCAATACACTGAGCCACTTATCACTGATACACTCATACACAGAATCAGTGAATCACAGCCACAACTCACAAGGCCAATAACAGATTAACAACCACAAGGCCGACAACCCACAGGACACAGGCAGCAACCAAATGCTAACAAAAAGACAAGCCAACTGCTAATAGATAATGCCAATTTTAATTTGCCATAACATATAATCAAAGTCCAAAGAAAGCCTAGCCAACTGCTAA